TGAAATTATGTTGATAGCTGGGATTTAGCTTATGAATTTATGATGCCATATGTGGTTTAACTTTTTTTCCAGTTTGGATAATGAAATTATTATAATACAATTTAAATACAACTTATTCTAATTTAGAAGAAGTCGAGCCGAAACTTGAAGTTGAAGATCATGATGATAAGGAAGATAAATTAGAAGGAAAGGATATTATTCCACACGGTAGAAGATGGTCAGAATTCTTGAGGTTAAATATGTTTCATAATAGTTTTAATAATATTTCGTCTTTTTGTAATACGATTGTGTTTGTTTGTGTGTTTCTGAAGGTAAATTTTTAACGATGATTTTCCTAATGATATATTATAATGTTTTTGATTTTTTATAGCAGGTTCTCTTTTACTTTGACCTTCTTATTTAAAAAATTAAAAGATTTCATGTCATCTGTGATTTCTTATTTTGATATGGTGTGTCTGATATATATTTTGTATAATTTGGACTGCGCTCTTTGATCTTTTTTTTTTCTTTCAAATTTCAAATTTCATCGCTTATATTGATGTAGGATCGTCTTTATGTGTTTGATTTGGTTATTTTTTAGTCTTGTCATATATAAATAGTTTGGTTCGTTTGGTTGTTTTTTGTTATTTCTTGACTTCACATGTACTTTTTTTTTCCAATTTGATTCGTTTGGTATTTTTTTTTTAATATAAAAACTCTAGATTTATTGAATGTTGATTTTCTTTTGGTGAGGATGTTATTCTTTTCGTCGTTTATTAAGTTTCTAATTGTTGCTCTGTTTTCTTCTAAATAATGCACAACATCTGAGATCAGAGCGGATACGGCGTGTGTTTTAGATTAGTGTGTCATGATGTTTGTATTTCTGGCTCAAAGTGTCGAATTCACCGAGGAAAAAGTCACATATCCTCTCGGATTTGACGCACAACGTAATGCATATCGACTTCACCTCCTTTGCCAATTTCGAATCTCTTGATAAAGCCTAAAGACTTTTTATTTTTCTCTTGTGGTTTGTATCAATAGCAGTACCGGAAAAGACGCACACAAGCATGCCATCTCCGATGTCAGTGGGTGTGGAGATGACATTGATCACTAATCATGTCGGTAATTTGTTAACTTAACTAATATGAATTTTTCTTGCGACCAAACTTTTTCTGAAGGAGATGATCGTAACAACAACACATGCTTGCGTTCAAGAGTGTCGTCAACGTCAAAATTACTAAGTGATCATATGAAATCGATAAATCATATACACTAGTTTGCTCTTTTTTGTGATAAAGAAAACCAGTGAAGGATGCAGCAGTGATATCTCGTGATATGATATGCATTAAGAGTTAAACACATGGTTATATTGTACACACTTATAGTGTTCAAGAAATTTTACATGTTGTAAGTTAGAATAGAAAACTTGCTTCTATTCTATAGAACACATGGGAAAAAGAAGAGAATTTGAATATACTATTACAATGTTGAATTTGATCGATCTTAAAGTCTAAACAAAGCTTGAATGTCTTAATTGAAAGTGTCAATTTGATAATATAATTTTAATATAGTTGCGTTTCTCCCAGTTGTGTAGCTTGGAAGTTAAGGTATTTCTAACCATATGGACATCCACATTACGAACTCTTAACTTTTATATTAAAACTTTAGAAAGGTAGTTCGAGTTTTGTAAACATGATCACTGTTTAAAATTTTGTAGGATACATAACAAAAACGAGGATAAATAAGAAATGAATAGTTTGAGTACGAGATTAACTTGTAGAGAAAATTCTTGATCTGTGATCAATTTTTGGTTTACTAATCTCGACAATTATTGCGGAATAATAAAATTTTGAATTTCTAAGAAATATCTTATACGTTCATTAATCAGAAATTCGAAAAAAATTTGTTCTCTAAGAAATTCTAAGATCTTGAGTTTTTGGGTTTGGTCTACAAATCATATTGTTTATTATTTTAATATACAACATCGACAAAAATCAATGGACGAAAACAATGAGG